CTTTGGGCCCCTTGGTACCAATTGAGCATCGTTGCAACGCCACAGCCTACCTGAGTATTGTTGCTGACCATGTCCATCCCTTTATGACCACAAAACCGTTACTAGCGTGGTGTACCTAATAAAGTGGCCGGTGAGTGTATTTTTATGACCAACATCATAAAAACAAATGATTACGCAAAGGTGTGTGTCCATTCAACGTTTTTATCCCCCCAATGTTCTTTCTGTAAAAGTGGCAGAATTATAAGACATATTTTTTGGGATTCAGATTACCTAAATTTGTTCAATTTGCAACCAAATTGTGACATAACTGATCATTGCATTGAATGATCAAATATGTAGTTTTTAATCATGTCACTAACTGTAATGCACAATCATTTTTTTTAATTTATATCACTGTGATGATACCTAAAGTGTAGACATGTGTATAAATGTGAAAATAAAGTCCTTCTGCCAGCACTATTTGACTGCAGCACGTGAGTTTCTTGTGGTATTTCGACAAAAAAAAAAACATCTGCCACCAGTCAGTCATTACTCATCTTCCGGTGTGTGAGTCTGTTTACATAATATGTAAACTCTTAATATAGCTCTTCTTGGGCTATTTTAATGTACTGATTGAACATCTCTGAACTCAAACACAGCTCTTAGACAAACACAAGAAAGGAGAATCGAAAATTCACACCGGAAGGCTTCCGTTTCGAATCAATAAACATGAATTAAATTATAAAGTTTTATTAAGAAAGCGATATTATTTCAGTATCGGTAGGTCAGCGAGGTTAACTACTCTATTGGTTAAAGGAAATACTTACCTTTCAACCGGCATGTGCATGTTTTGTTTAAAAATTATTATCGGATGTTTGAACTCATATCAGAATAATAACATTTATTAGCTACATCAGCTAGCGTCATAACAAAGCAATTTAACATAGCGACTCTTCCCGATTCTAAAATTAAATTACATTTAAAAAAAAAACTGACAGAAAGGTCTTTTTTTTTTTTACCTGATTGCGTTCAACACAATGGCGAAGACAAAAGTTTCAGAGACCACTTCCCCCCAGCCGGACTGCGACTAATAACAGCCTCTCGCTCCTCTGAATCAATAGAATCAGGTGGGGGGAAAAAAATCGYCTGTGCGCGTGCATCGTGCTGCAACGCCCGCTTCCGGTGGGGGGAACTCGTATCGACGCAACACCGTCTGTGCTCGCGCTTCAGGGAGAGCTATGGAAACCGTGCACCTCGGGTTTCCCAACACGTGTTACATCGTATTCTGTGACCGCCGCATGAGGCTGTTGCGTAGCTTCACGTGACTTGAAGCGTCCGCTACGCCAAAAGCGTACGGATCAGAAGAAGGTGGGCCGTTTCCCAACTCTAAAAATACTCCTTAAAGTTTACTCTCTCATGTCTGAAAAACTGTTCGGATTCAGGTGTTTGTCTAAAAACTGTAAATAACAAAGTAATTCCAMTTATTTATTTATCATTCAAACTAAGTGACTCTATTTTTCCCTTTACTTGATCTAAAACAATCTATTGTGACTGGCTGCAATTATGTTAATTGTGGTTTATTGCATGTCTGTGATTTATGTGTGTAATTGAAGAATTGAAAGAACARCCTCCAGGAGTGGTGATGATATCATTTTTGCCAGTGACTGTATGTGGGTATYTTTGTTATGGTAACACATCTTGATAACCTGTTACTTGTATCATAGCTGCTTCCTTTTTTCTCACAGTTCCGGATGCTGCGTTCAWATACACTCAGACGAATGATAACTAGAAAATGATGTTCTAGTTTTTATCTTTTTAAAAGTTTTTTGTTGTGTTTTGATGTTGCTTCAAAGTTTTATTGTGTTTCAATAAAATAAGAGACGTTACGAATGTTTCCTCGCTGTTCTTATTGAAATTAGCGTGACGTACCTGAACGCAGCAGATTGCACACGGATCAAAACGGTGCTGCATTRGAAGACAAACGGAAATATCAAACTTGAGATCAATTGAACAGAATTTTTAATAGATTCAATTAACCCTATAAGAAAATCAGAAGTGATGACAACTAAATCAAATTTAACAGCTTTAAATTTAACTTTTATAATACATTTATTCAACTAAAATATATTTAGAACATTTTCTCTCTATAAAGAAGCTCTCATCCCATGCAGGCATGTATATTAGTTTAGTTTAGTTTTTTTTACTTTGGACACTGTTTATAGCACCCACATGGAAAAAATACGTAACTTATTCAATGATTCAGCCCTGATGTTTGTGTTTTGTTGTCAGGCGGACCACCCAGTTTTGAGAGCTCTCGGTGAGTCATTCAGTTTTGCAGAGAACTGGTATGTAAAGAAACTCCCACCACCCACTGGAACACAAGTTAGGAGTGGTCAGGACTCTGTACCACAGAGCAGACAGTGTRCCTACAAACCCAGGAGCCAGGSAGAAAGAGAAATCACACACACAACAGGCCCTGGAGCAGTGTGGTTATCCTGACTGGGCTTTCCTGAAAGCAGACAGGAAACACAGACAGGATTCCATGCAACCTTCAGGTGAAAATGAAGACCCCAAACCCAGACCCAAACCAGTGGTTATTCCGTATGTTGCGGGTGTTTCGGAGAAACTGAGATGRTTATTTTCTAAACATGATGTRCCAGTGGCTTTCAAACCCCAAAACACATTACGGCAAAGGCTGGTTCACCCCAAAGATCCYGTGCRCCGGCACAAACAGAGCAATGTTGTATATGCTGTTAAGTGCCAGGAGGACTGCGACCAGTTATACATCGGGGAAACAAAGCAGCCACTGTTCAAAAGAATGTCCCAACACAGACGAGCTACATCTAATGGCCAGAACTCTGCAGTTTTCACTCATTTACAGGCCAGCGGTCACTCTTTCGGAGATGAGGATGTTCTCATTCTTGATAGAGAGGAACGTTGGTTTGAGAGAGGAGTAAAAGAAGCCATTTTTGTGAAGAAAGACCATCCATCATTAAACAGAGGTGGAGGCCTCCGTTTTCAGTTGTCCCCCTCCTACAGCGCTGCTATTGCCAGTATCACTCCACCCCCTGTTAACAATAGGTGTTAATTAGGTGTCAACGATAGCCATGTGATGTGAGTATCAGTCACATGGAGGCAGGGCTTAAAAGCCTGAATTTWGCCTGAAACTCTCAGACTGAAGAAGTCTCTTGGAGGAGAGACGAAACGTTTCATTAGAGAAGAACCCGTCCAGAAGACCTACACAATTTTTTTCTTTTTGATTTTTTACCTGGATTACTGAGATGCATCAGGACATGTTATGTAAAGACACAATTTAGAAAAGATTTATCTAACCTCCTCCAGGTGTACCATTGCAACAAAAGTGATCTTTAATTTAAAAAAAGACATCTAGCATTCCTTACAGAAATGCATATCACCTGCCAGCCACCAATTTTATACTAGTTGATCATGTGATGAGAAATGAAGTTTGTATAGATGGTTATGTCTATTTACATTTAACAGATATGTGGGACATGGACATAATACAGTGAAGGGTTTCCCTGAACTCGAGCACACTTTAGTGCTATTATGGTTTTACACAATAAATTCTTTTTGGTTTGGATTCAGATTTAATTTATACGCTTTCAATATGTGATAAAAGTAAAAAAAAATTTCTTCATTTCTTCGTATTTATTTCATTTCTGGGTGGTTGAAAGCATCAGATTGTCTGTATAGTTTGAATATTGTTCTGTTAAAAAAATAGCAAAAAATACAATAAAATTTTAAACAAAACTGGCAAAAGTTAATACTCACCAACTGATCACCAGAAAAGATGGATTATTGAGTGTTCAATTGTCATTTAGTGTTTAGAAATAATAACTTTTGGAGCATTCCTTGTTTTTTTCTCTTTAGTGAAACTGACACATCAACTTATCGAAAATTGGCGAGGTTACAATTTTAGGGTACTGCTATTTATTGTTGCTTTGTACTAAAATATTTGACAAATTATCACATTCACTTTAATATTTATTTTTCTCTGACATCATTAAACATAAAGTCATACTTTGAATATTCACAAGTAAAGAAAAGAAAATATCTCATTCCTATTCTGTTCTGACAGCTTTAATACACAGTCAGAGATACAAAATCTTCAGTGTCAGTCTTTTTCATCAGGCTGTAAATCAAGTCTGTACTCAATTATGGTGAAGTTGGTGATTTTGGCAACAAAGCCAGGGTGAGTGAGCTCTCTTATCTTCTGGTAACCCATGTGCTCGTAGAGTTTCTGAGCATCAGTCTGCACCATAGAGGTGGACAGGATGACAGCAGCGTATCCCCTGTCACGAGTAAACTCTGCTACCGTCCGACACAAAGTCTTGGCGATGCCCATCCCACGATACCTGCGGCGCACTGACATGCGRTTCAGTTCCAGGCACTCGGGTGCATTTTCAGCAGGAAGACAAGCCACCGTCCCGACCACCCGTCCATCGCTCTCAGCCACCCAGAAACACGAGTTCTTCTTTTCCAGGTAAATCTCACTGATGTTGCTGAGGTCAGCCTTCAGGGAGTCTTCTATGTAATCAGTAAACATGGAAGCGACCACGTGCCGGCCTGCGGCCAGAAGAAGGCTGACCGCCAGGATGGGCAGGAGGAAGGACTTGGAGCTGGTCAGGAGAYSACAGAATGTGCACATGAGCACCATCTGGGTCAGCGGCTGCTTTAGGACGTGCGTGAAGGTTGAAGGTATGTGTTCCTTCATCCCCATGGTGAAGATCTCCTTCACGCTCTCATCATCATCATCCTGGTACTTTCTGATCTGAACTCTGGCCATGGTTCAGCTGTTCAAAACAAAAATATCAAATTGTAAAATGTGAATACTACTGATGATTGTTTTTAAATATTTGATACAATAAAGATATGGGCACCCCCGTGACCATAAAAAAAGAAGCGGGTATAGAGGATGGATGGATGGATTTAATCAAGCTTCAGTAGCTTGTGTTTATGCATTATGAATGTACTGACAATGAAATACCAGGTTTATAACAACTGATGAAATCCAACGATTGAGCTTTTACTAGTTATTAAAAGACTGCTTTGTGTAAAAATATCAAATCCTTTGACTAATTAAGTCACAATAGTCTTAACAGTTTTTAGTTTTTAAATATTAGTCTTATAAATGCAGAGTTGACATGTTAACTAATGCAGTTAGTCACGAAACTAGTCTGTGGTTTTAAGAAAATCAACAAAAAATAAATAAACTTCTGAAACAATTGGCAAAAGTAAATTGTTATCAAAATAAAATAAGTTCTTGGTAAGTCTTATGTAATTACTATATAATACTTATAACTTTTTGCTCCTTGGGAACATTTTGGGGCTGCAGTTCTAAGTAAATCAAATACTTGATATATTTTAAGAGGACTGGAAATTGCGTGACTTCAGATCTAAATAGATCCAGCTCAAGGTGATTCCCAGACTGTCCACATGGTTTTACAAAAAATGTCAATAAACAGGCTGAAGTTCATTTGCTCATATCTCGCGAGATTTTCTAAATCTCGCAATGACGTAACACACAGTTTGGAGAAGTTGAAAACCAGAGACAGCAGCAGACCCTWCTTGTTAAGTGATGTTTTGTTGTTGATATAACTGAATAAATGCAACTTATTTACCAACACAGACGCACTCYGTGTGTTATTAATCAAATCTGACAGGTAAATATGATATTAATACGTTAAATGCATTTGCTTTTCAGTATTACTAACGTATATTGAAAATAAAACTTAAGTACACGAAGTTCTTTAATTTTTATTTACTCGATGGATGTGAATAAATGTACTCCAGACCAGAACTATTACTGCTGTCGAAGCAACACATTTTATAATTTGGTATAACTATAAACTGATAAAGATGAAAGATTTGATAGTTTCGTCATGAGCTCTATAAAAGCCTCACGCTGATCACGAGGATATGTTATTTGTTTTATCTAGAGTTCAAACTAATAACACCGACTTTCCTCCTGATTTATTRAACACATGTATTCGTTGCACATCAGCGTCGCTTCTTAAAGATCTAAACGTTGTGTTTACTTTAAGAAATAATCTGTAGCTAAGCTACTGAAGCTAGCATCCATCAGTGCTAGCCACACAAAGCTACTGCGCTGTTTTATAAAACTAAACAATTTAAAAACGCGCGCGCACACACACACAATAGAGGGTAATTAACAAGAGTTACCAGTGCTGAGACATTGCCTGAAATTTGTAATAAATCTACTGTAGCCAAAAATATCAGCGCCAGACTGTCTTTCAGCAGCTCAGCTTAGCTGCTAGTGCTAGCCATCGATGTAGCATTGATGCTGCGTTCAAAACCCTCGGATTTTACAGAAAACGTCTGTTTAGCTGTCATTGCCTCCGTGTTGCATTTGTGGGTGCTGGAAATTCGCGTTTCAGTTAAGAAAAGAGTCACACTTACAGATATTGTGGCYCATATATTCGTTTCCAGGAGCTTGTGACCTCTGTTACGCACAGAAAAAAACAGATAAGCCCTAAACGCAACGTGTTCATTTTCAGAATGGTCCGAAGTTCAAAACATAAATCCAGCTGATGCACACCTATGTTCAGACTCTCCTCATTAAATCTGACTGAGCTTGAGGTGTTTAGCTGAAAATAATGAGCAAAAAGCAGTTTGAAGTGTGCAAAGCTGCTAAAAGACAGACTAATACGATACAGTGGATGTTACACTTTTCAGATTTTTATTTGTAAAAAATTTGAAAATATTGGATCACTTTTCTTCCACTTGAAAGTTATTCTCTACTTTGTGTTGGTCTATCAGATTAAATCCCAGTGAAATACTTGGATGTTTATAGTTGTAGTTTTAAATAGTATATTTGAATACTTTATGAATGCGCTGTAAAGGAGTCACCATGGTCTGCAACAAGTACATCATGTTGAGCAGAGAGTTTAACAGTAGAAACATGAATAGGAGATAATGTTCTGACAAAGTGACTGCTTTAAGATACAGCCAGTTAGTGATAAAAAAATTGATTTCAGTCTTTTTCATCAGGCTGTAAATCAAGTCTGTACTCAACCAGGGTGAAGTTGATGATTTTGGCAACAAAGTCGGGCAGAGTGAGCTCTCTTATCTTCTGGTAACCCATGTGCTCGTAGAGTTTCTGAGCGTCTGTCGCAACCATGGAGGTGTACAGGATGACAGCAGCGTATCCCCTGTCACGAGTAAACTCTGCTACCGTCCGACACAAAGTCTTGGCGATGCCCATCCCACGATACCTGCGGCGCACTGACATGCGTTTCAGTTCCAGGCACTCGGGTGCATTTTCAGCAGGAAGACAAGCCACCYTCCCGACCACCCGTCCATCGCTCTCAGCCACCCAGAAACACGAGTTCTTCTTTTCCAGGTAAGTCTCGCTGATGCTGCTGAGGTCAGTCTTCAGGGAATCTTCTGTGTAACTGTTAAAAAAGGAAGCGACCACGTGCCGGCCTGCGGCCAGAAGAAGGCTGACCGCCAGGATGGGCAGGAGGAAGGACTTGGAGCTGGTCAGGAGAGCACAGAATGTGCACATGAGCACCATCTGGGTCAGCGGCTGCTTTAGGACGTGCGTGAAGGTTGAAGGTATGTGTTCCTTCATCCCCATGGTGAAGATCTCCTTCACGCTCTCAGCATCACCATCCTGGTACTTTCTGATCTGAACTCTGGCCATGGTTCAGCTGTTCAAAACAAAAATATCAAACTGTAAAAAGTGAATACTACTGATTGTTCTCATGCATCATGAATGTACTTACAATGAAATGCCCAGTTTATAACAAATAAGGAAATTCAAAGATTGATGTCATAGTATACTCATTAAACTAGTTGTGTAAAAATATGTTTACATTTTCACACAAAGCAATTATTTCCTTTATCTAATCAAGTCACAATAGTCTGAATGTTTGTTTTTAAATGTCATACAATAGCAGAGTTGACATATTAACTAACAGTGGTTCCTTACGTTGATGTCATGAAACAAGTGTTTGTTCCAGAGAAATCCCCAAAATTTAAATGAACTTTTAAGACATTTGCCAAAAGCAATTTAAATGTTTGTCATCAAAATAAAAGACGTACTTGGCAAGTATACAATAAAGAAAGTAGTCTTATGTAACTTATTTACTGTAGTAAAAATAATTGTGTATAAAAGTTGTTTCATCAAGAAMAATCTTAGTGTTGATGCTCCTTAGAAACATTTTGGGGCTGCAGCTATTATAAAACKTTATTCTTTTTAAATCAAATACTTGCTACATTTTATAAAAGGGGAAATTACCTGGCATTCACATCGAACCGTTCAAGGTTGTGCTGTAGTGTRGTTTGCTCAAATCTCGCGAGAATTCCGCTATAACGTAAGTTTGCAAAACAATGCGAAAATTGTCTGCATGACAAACACGACAAATGAAACCTTTTCACTCATCTAGTTCAGAAACAAATCATRGTTGATGCACCTGAATAAACACAATTTATTTATCAACACAGACGTACTTAGTGTGTTATTAGTCTGACAATATGAAATTTGCAACTTTAAATGTGTATTAGTAAAGAACAGACTGAAGTAAAAAAAATAATTTGTAGTTACTAGACGTATAAAATGTACTTAAATGCTGCTCTCAAAGCAACACGTTACGATCTTGTATAAAGCTATAAACTTATGGAAAGATTAACAGAACTGCAGTTTCATCATGACCTCCAACAAACCTTATGATCACGAGGATCTGTTAGTGGTAGCATCAATGCTAGCCTCTCTAAGCTGCTGCGCTGTCATGAAACTAAAATAAGTGAAAAACAGAAAAGATGATAGACAAACAAAAGTTACCAGTGATGTGGCACAGTCCCAAACTCGTAATAAATTTCTTGCAGCTGAAACRTGGGCTCCAGACTGTCTTTCAGCAGCTTATCTGCTAGCCATCAATGCTCTGTTAATGTGGCGTTCAAAACCCTCGGATTTCAGAGTTACTGAATGTTTCTCAATRATACCATGTAAATATTTATTTTTTAAGTAAGTCAAAAATAAAATTTTGTTTGTTAAAAAAAACCCTAAATTATGGAATGTCATTTCCGCCACCCTGATAAAAAAAATAAAACTTGTATCTCATAATTATGACTTAGCTAAGACATAGTTATGAGATAGTATCTCATAATAATGAGATAGCTAAGTCATAATTATGGCTATCTCATAATTATGACTTAGCTATCTCATCATTATGAGATAGCTATCTCATAATAATGAGATAGCTATCTCATAATTATGAGATACGATCTCATAATTATGACTTAGCTATCTCATCATTATGAGATAGCTATCTCATAATAATGAGATAGCTATCTCATAATTATGAGATACGATCTCATAATTATGACTTAGCTATCTCATTATCATGAGATACTATCTCATAATTATGAGATATCTAAGTCATAATTATGAGATACAAGTTTTATTTATTTTTTTATCAGGGTGGCGGAAATGGGCTTCCACACTAAATAAAGTTTATTTTACTGGTACAATAAAATGTTGCTTGTACATAAAGTTATATTTGGAAACAAAAAAAAGGCCCTCAGTTGTAAGAATTTGGTGAATGAGGCAGAAATGAAATGCTGTGTTTAAGCTTTTGTCTTTAGCCTATCAAGTTTAGTTTATAACATGAGATAAATAACAACAATTCACATTTGAAGACTGAAAATAATTTATTGTCTCCTTTAAATAAATCCTAATACATGTTGATTGTAAAACATTTTCCCTTCTCATAAAGTAAACTTTTTCTCTAAATTAATAGCTCAGCAGTATAAAAACATTCTTTTTCCTTTTAAGATTTGGTTTCCTTTGTACAAAATGTGCAATTCATTCGTTTTTCTGCACATCGGGATGAGCAGAAACAAAGGCAGCTCYCAATCGCTTCTTCCCAGTTTGTGTGTTTCCTAGCCCAGGTTTATGTTCCCAGCAAACAAGGTTATTAGCAGGATGATGGCGAAGCCGGTGAGCAGGCCTGCGTTCTGGATTAGAAAGAAGATGATCTTGGTGGAAGTTTTCTGCTGTTCTCTTGCTATGTTGTCCATTTCTGGGAACTGAAACAAGACAAACACTGAAATTTAACAAAACAATCTCAGACGATGTTGACAATCAGGATCAACAAATTATTTGTATGTAATATATAGAGATCTAGAAGGGTCAACCTTTAGTTTTAGGACATTTATTTAAGAAGTTAATGTGGATATTTTTTGTCCCACGGGTGTCTAAAATTCTAGCATGAACAAGCCTGAGAAGGTAATCATCTTGCTTCCATATCTAATTTAGTCTGACCTCACTGTAGGGATTAAATTTGACCACTTGAGGGCAGCACAACAGCACATCTTCTGTAAATATGGTCTGAAGTTAGAAAATTAACAAGTTAGAAATAAATGAGTTTATAGCATCTTGAATTTTTTTTTTTCATTTTTAATGATATAATCACACACAAGGTCTTTTAACTGGGATTTTATGAGACAAAGTAGCACAAAATTGTGAGGTGGAAGAAAATGATGCATGGCTTTCTTTTTAAATTTGTTTTCACAAACAAAAATCTGAAACGTGGCAGCATCTATAAACACTCTCCTTTACTCTGATACATCCYACTAAAACCCAGTGCAACCACTGAACTCAGTGGAGTTAACCTTTATAAAGCCAGCTGTTCTGTGAAGTTTCTTACAAAACATTATTTTTTATTCATTTATTCATTTCATTTAAAAACAAAAATTTTTTTATACACAACAAAAAATATACAAATCCAAATTAAATGAAAGGAGGCAAAAAGAAGAAAAAATCTTATATC